GGGGGTGTCTGCAGGGTGGGGGAGGCCCCTGCGTGGGGGAAGGCCCCAGCGGGGCCCCTCAAAGGCGCAGGAGCCGCGGCCGCCCCAGGGCCCGGCCGGGGTGGGGGCGCGCTGCCGGGGCGCCCAGGCCGCGCTGAGAAACTCGCCCGGCGCCGGTTCCCATAAATCCAGCCTTTATGCGGCCCTGAATGGCTCAACAATGGGCCCGTTTCAGGCCGCAGGAACTGGCCCAGCCCGGCTCCCCGTGCAATTAGCAGCCCAGCGGGGCGGATTCTCGCTGCCCGGCGTCGGGCGGGGCGTTCCGTGCGCCCGGGGAGGCCGCGCTGGCACAACACGGGCCCTGGCAGTGCCCGCCGGACCGAGTCAGCTTCCCCCTGCGCACCGGCACGCGCCCCAGACCCCACACCGCGGTGACGGCCTCTAGGGTCAATCCCCAAGGACCCTCGCCAGGCTCTGGCCTGGCCCCTTCTCTCGGTGTCCCGTGGGCTGTTGGAAGGAGCAGCCCAGTCCAGGCAGCCCCAGAGCGCGGCCCCCAGGGCAGCTGCGCACAAGCACCGGCTGGAGGGCCGTCCAGCGGCAGGTGTGCGTCCAGAAGCAGGTTGCCCAGAACAAAGTGGAGGCGGGGGTAGGATCATGGCTTGGGGGGGGGGGGGCCGTCCTAGCACGACCTCCAGCCTGGAGAAGAAGACCACAGCCTCAACACCCCTTACCCCAACCAACACTGCTGGGAGGCCCAAGCAGTGAACAGAAAGCTGGACGGCCAGGGCTGGCCCTGCACCGCTCACTCTGGACCCTGGCCTGCTGGAAACTGGGGGCTCCTGGGAGCCTCTGCCTGGGCCAGGTCGGGACGGGAGGGCTGCGACCCCCTCTTCTCTGGAGACAAAGACATGGCCACTCTCTGGAAAGTTGCCCAGGGCGCCCTGGGGGACGTGGTGTGTGGGGGAACATGTGTAGGGGGCACACACACGTGTGTGGGGGGGCACAGGGTGTGTGTGGGCACAGGGTGTGTGTGGGGGCACAGGGTGTGTGTGTGCACAGGGTGTGCGTGGAGGCAAAGGGTGTGTGTGGGCACAGGGTGTGTGTGGACAGGGTGTGTGGGGGCACAGGGTGTGTGTGTGGACAGGGTGTGCGTGGGGGCACAGGGTGTGTGTGTGGACAGGGTGTGTGTGGACAGGGTGTGTGTGTGGACAGGGTGTGCGTGGGGGCACAGGGTGTGTGTGGGCACAGGGTGTGTGTGGGCACAGGGTGTGTGTGGACAGGGTGTGTGGGGGCACAGGGTGTGTGTGTGGACAGGGTGTGCGTGGGGGCACAGGGTGTGTGTGTGGACAGGGTGTGCGTGGGGGCACAGGGTGTGCATGGGGGCACAGGGTGTGTGTGTGGACAGGGTGTGTGTGTGGGCACAGGGTGTGTGTGTGGACAGGGTGTGCGTGGGGGCACAGGGTGTGTGGGCACAGGGTGTGTGTGGGCACAGGGTGTGTGTGTGGGGGCACAGGGTGTGTGTGGGCACAGGGTGTGTGTGTGGACAGGGTGTGTGTGTGGGCACAGGGTGTGTGTGTGGGCACAGGGTGTGCGTGGGGGCACAGGGTGTGTGTGTGGACACAGTGTGCGTGGGCAGAGGGTGTGTGTGGACAGGGTGTGTGGGTGGGCACAGGGTGTGTGTGGGGGCACTGGGTGTGTGTGAACAGGGTGTGTGTGTGGATAGGGTGTGTGGGGGCACAGGGTGTGTGTGGGCACAGGGTGTGCGTGGAGGCACAGGGTGTGTGTGGGCACAGGGTGTGTGTGGGGGCACAGGGTGTGTGTCGACAGGGTGTGTGTGGACAGGGTGTGTGTGGGGGCACAGGGTGCGTGGGGGCACAGGGTGTGTGGGGGCACAGGGTGTGTGTGGGCACAGGGTGTGTGTGGGGGCACAGGGTGTGTGTGGGCACAGGGTGTGTGGGGGGGCACAGGGTGTGTGTGGGCACTGGGTGTGTGTGGGGGCACAGGGTGTGTGTGGGGGCACAGGGTGTGTGTGGGGGCACAGGGTGTGTGTGGACATGGTGCGGGTGTAGGTCAGGGTGTGTGTGGGGACATGGTGCAGGTGGGCACATGTGTGTGTGTGTATGGGCACACGTGTGGGGCTGTGTATGCCTGTGTTTGGGAATCTTAGCTTGCAAGCGCCCACCCTGTCTTCAGAGTGCGCTGAGCTCTCCCTGTCCCCGACACCGGGAGGAGCCCCCCTGGGATGGAATGGGGGTCTGGGTAGCGTCTTTAGGCAGCTCTGGCGAGGGGAGCCGCCATGGGCCTCAGCCTCCCAGTCCTTGGAGACCGAGTTGCGATGGGCACCCACAGTGCCCCGTGGAGCTTGCTCATGGCAGTTGGGGATCTACACAAAGCCCCGCCCCCAGGCCAAACCAGCTGGGCCCGTGGCCCCCACACCTGCAGCCACACAGGCCTCTCCCCTGCACAACACTGGCCCCCAGGCCTCCCGGCATGGGCCTGTGCATCCATGTTCATCAGTTTAATGGCATGTTCTTACATTGGAATAGCAAACGCTGGGGTCTAGGGGCAAATTTGGGTGACACCAGAAGAGGCTCCTCCCCCAAGGGGGCAGGTGGAAGAGAGAGAGAGTGGGGGACAGGGTTGCCAGAGCAAGAGGAACCTGGCATGCCTTGGGGCTCAGCCAGCACTGCAGGGAGCAGTGAAGGCTTCGGCAGTGCCTGCCCAACCCCTGCCCACTAATGGCTGGGCCGTCCAGGCCCCACGAGCTCTCTGAGAGCCAGGAGAGGGACAGAGCCCCAGGGCTTGGGGGAGGATGGGGTGTTCCCAGGCTGGGGACAGGCATGGGGCCCAATGACCCTGGGACCGCACTGAAGCAGTAGGGCCCACTCCATCTGCCTTGGGGGACCCTGGGGAGGAGTCGGCAGCCAGAGCATGTGGGCAGCGTGGACTTGTCCAGAGTCCACACCGTGGTGGGCAGCTGGGCTGCTGGGGGCTGATGGAAGGGTGGATGTGCAGCCTGTGGCCTGAGGCTCTCAGCTTTGGGGTGCTGAGTCAGGAACGGGATCCTGTGCTAGTTCCGGGACAGCGCTGAGAGCGGCGGCCAAGGGCTGGGGAGGCCTGGGTGATGTCCAGCAGGCCACAACTGCTGTTCCCATGGCGTCCACCAGGTAGTGCCAAACGGCCACCTGTTTGCAGGGCCAGCTAGAGGAGGGAGGTGGTCCTCCAGGCTGCCCGAGCGGGCCGGGCACGCCCAGGCTCACACTGGACTCCTGGCCTGCACGCCCTGCCCTGCCAGGCTGAGCGGCTGAAGACATGCTGGAAATGCCGGTTCCCAGGTGTAACGTTAGGTAAAGTGCCACCTATGGTGCCGGTTCAAGTCCCGGCTGCTCCACCTTTGAGCCAGGTCTCTGTTAATGCGCCTGGCAGCAGTGGAGTGCCTGGCCCCTGTGCCCATGTGGGGGACCCAGAAGAAGCTTCTGGCTCCCAGTTTTGGCCCTGCTCAGCACTGGCCATTGGGGCGTTTGGGGAGTGGGCCACTGGAAAGAAGGTTTGTCTGCCTCTGAAAAGAAAAAAAAAGAATGCAGATTTCTGGGCCAGTCCCTGAGCTCCTGAACAGGAACCCAGCAAGGGAGGGAGCTGTGTTGTCAGGGTCCCCCGGGTCAGGGAGCTGGCTGTGTGTTCAGCAACATGGCACCTTGTAAGGAATGCAGAGTCCCAGGCCCCAGTACCTGCATCTTAACTGCCCCCCGGGTGACTCCTGCTGTGGGGCCTCCCCTTCTGGCAACAGGACCCTGGGGGGCGCCTGGGAGCACAGCTGGGGCTGGTATGGGGGGGTGCCTGGGAGCACAGCTGGGGCTGGTATGGGGGGTGCCTGGGAGCACAGCTGGGGCTGGTATGGGTGGCCTGGTGGACCCACTGTGCCCCTACGGGCAGGTGCCTGGGGCCAGCAGGTGTCAGCGTGTCACTCTATCTCCCACCGCCCAGGACATGTCATCATGGACAGGGGGCAGGAAGCTGCTGCAGCGGGTCAGGTGCTGGAGGTGCTCTCCCTGCTCCGGCCCTCTGGGCTGTGAGTTCCTGTACCCGTCCCCTCCGTCTGCCGTCCCCGCTCTGAGCTGAGCCACCAGCCTCCCTCCACAGCCAGGGGTCCTGGTTCCTGACAGCGAGAGCCCAAGCCCCACTCCGTGGGTGGCCACGTGTCTGCCGTGATCATGCTTCTTGCATCACCGGGCAGCGCGTCTGGTCATGGTGGTGGGGACGCGTGGGGACAGGAGACGAGGCTCCCACATCCTCAAAGAGCCCGGGATGGGGGACAGAGTGACCACAGGGACGCCCCCCCTGTACACGGGGTCCCCTGGCTTCCACGGGACAGGAGCACAAGGCTGTCCTACAGAGAGACCGTGAGTCTGGGTGAGTCAGGGTGGGCTGCCAACCTGCTGCTGGCCACCGCTGTCCCCGAGGGCAGGGGACAGAGCCCAGAGTGGCCCTGATGGCTCAGCAGGCATCTGTGGGTAGGCTGCAGGTGTTTCCTGGGGTGGGGGAGAGAGAGAGGGCTCCTTCTGTTGAGCTTGGCCCAACAGGGGCAGCTCCGGGTAGGGCGGAGTGCCAGTCTGGCCCCCGACTCCACATGTGGCTGTACGGTGGATGCCGGCCGGGCTGCAAGTGCCAGCGCTGAGCCCTGTCCAGCAGGCGCGGGAGTGGCCGTGAGCAGTGTTTTTGTCTCACTGGGATGCTGGCTTGGATCCCTGAAGGGCACTGAGGCCCCTGCTTCTCCCATGGGCACGGAATGCGCAGGCGGACAGCAGTGCCGCTTCCTTCCTGTCCCAGCCCTGTATAAAAGAGCAGGCCTCGTGCTGGCCACCACCGGCCGGGCGGACGCCAGCGGGGACCCCAAGAGGTGAGGCTGCGCCTGGGCAGGGGTGAGGGGAGGACAGCCACACGCAGTCCCTTCTGCTGGCTCTGATCTGCCACCCCTGCTGCAGGAGCAGCTGAGCGTTGCTGGAGGGGCCGTGCTGGGGAAGATGCAGGCCTGCGTGCTGTGGGCACTGGCCTTCTGCCTCCTGCTGGGGCCTCCTGCAGGTGAGGGGCTGCCCAGGACGACCCCGGGGATGCCCGGCTGGGACAGGCAGCGGGCAGTCCCAGCTGATGGCCCCTCCCCCACAGGAGCCAAGCCGCTGCGGGAGCCAGAAGGTGGGTGTCTGGGAGTCCCTGCTCTGCCGGAACTGTGGGGAGGAGGAGGACGAGACCTCATGGCTTCCTCTGGAGCAAATACAGGAGCAGAGGGGGCCCTGGCTGGTCTCTGCCCACCCTACAGAGACCCCTGGGCGGCCTGGGGCGTGCTGGGCAGGAGGGGCCCTGGTGACCCCCGACGTCCCCTCTAGACCTGGAGTCCAATCCCATGAAATGGCCTTCCAGGCCAGCGGAGCCCCCACCTGTCCTACACAGGCACCCTATGCTCTCCTGTGTGCCTGGACCCCCTACTCAGCACTGACCCTCAGGGGCTGGGACCTGCCTGTCTTCCAGACCCCTACGCGGAGCCGCCGGCCCTGCCCTACTGGCCCTTTTCTACCTCCGACTTCTGGAACCACGTGCGGCACCTGCAGGAGCAGGGCGCCTACTCCCAGCTCGAGGACCTGGCCCGTACCTTCTTCGCCCACTTCCCGCTGGGCAGCACCCTGGGCTTCCACGTTCCCTACCAGGAGGACTGACTGGCCCCACCCTGGGTCCTGCTGCCCAGTCTGGGGCAAGTGGGGTCCAAGTGACTGGCCAGCCCTGACCTCACCCCCAATAAACTCCCCTGTGGACCAGCACAGTGCAGTGGACTTCCTTTCTGCCTGGGGGCCTGCTTTCACTCCCCGTCACTCCCCTGTCACTCCCACCCCATCACACCCCCTCACTCCTGGTCACTCCCACCCTGTCACTCCCGGTCCCCCGTCACTCCCACCTCCATGCAGGGGGAACCAATGGTTTATGGGGCGGCTTCTCTTGGCCACCAGCAAGTGTCACACTCACTGACGGCTCTGACTTGGTGTCTGCTGAGGAGCTGGATGACCGGCACCTCCAGTGGCACCCCCTCTCCCTGCACCTGGCTCTGTCCCCGGGGCCGCCCTCACCACCCCTGGCTCCCACGCCATCTGGCCCGCTCTGGCGGTCTCTGCACGGACCGCCCCACCTTGTCCAGGGTGGCCCCTGACCACCAAGGAGGCGCTGGCCCTCCTGGATAAGCTGCAGCGAGAAGCCGGGCGCCCCAGGCCCCGCCCAGCCCCGCTGATTGACAGGCGGGTGACTGGAGACCACAGAGTCGCGGTCCTCCGGCGGCTAGACCTGATGGGCAGGCACGGGCGGAAGTGACGCCCGGGCCGGATGTGGGCCTAGAGCTCCCCAGGTCCGAGATGAAGCCGGCGGTGGACGAGATGTTCCCTGAGGGCGCGGGGCCGTACGTGGACCTGGACGAGGTGGGCAGGGCTGTGGGTGGGCCTGGGCGACATGGGCAGGGGGCACGGGGTGTGGGTGTACCTGGACGAGGTGGGCAGGGGGCACGGCGTGTGCGTGAACCTGGATGAGGTGGGCAGGGGGCACGGCGTGTGCGTGGACCTGGACGAGGTGGGCAGGGCTGTGCGTGGACCTGGACGAGGAGGGGAAGGGGGCACGGGGTGTGAGTGGACCTGGACGAGGTGGGCAGGGGGTGTGGGGAATTGCAGGAAGTAAGTTTGTCACCTGCTCCCTGTACCTGTGGCGGGCCTGTCACCTGCTCCCTGCGGGGTCTGTTGCCATGGTGGGTCTTGTTGGCCGTGTCCTGGTGGCTGTGGGCACTGTGGCCGGTTTGCTGCCCACTCTGGCTCACACTGACTGAGCCCTCTTTCCCCGCAGGCAGGAGGCAGCACAGGGCTGCTGATGGACCTGGCGGCCAATGAGAAGGCGGTGCACGCGGACTTCTTCAATGGTGAGGGGCCGGCCTGGGGCTGTCCCAGCCGGCACTGTCCTCCTGCTCTGGCCACAGGGGCAGCTCTGTGGCGGAGTGAGCCTGCTCCAGTGCAGCAGCTGTGGTGGGACGCTCCTGGCTGTTGTCCCCAGCAGGCAGCCTTCGGCTCTGGCCCAGCTGGCAGTTGAGTTTGAGCAGGGCCTGTGTGGCTCTGGACCTCGGCTGGTCAGTGGAGTGAGGTGCCATGGCCCGGCTGTCTCCTGAAGGTCCGCCCTGGACCCTTCGCTGGCTGCACCTGGATTCGGGTGCCCTCGGCAGCTCATAGCCCTGCCCAGCTCCTTCCCGGAATGGAGTGGAGACGTGGGATGCAGCCCGCCCCATGACCTGGTTGCAGCGTGAGGCTTCACTAGCTAGGCAGGCTTGGGGTGCCAGTTCGGATGGTGGGTGCTGCACCTCGGGGCCCCCCAGGCTCCGTCAGCCGTGACGGTGTCCATGACTGCCAGCACAGGCCAGCTGCCATTCAGGATGCCCAGGCCTGTGTCTGTGCCCAGGGGGTGAGTCCTACTTGGCTTGAGTGGGCTTGTCTAGAACCATCTGGGCTGCCCTGGACCCACGGCGGGCGCTGTGGCTGCCTGTCCCCCAGCCATGGTCACCCGTGTATCTGTTCCTTTGCCAGATTTTGAAGATCTCTTTGATGATGATGACATCCAGTGAGCTGTCCAGCAGTCGTGTTCTCCTGCCCTGCTCAGGGCCTGGCTGACCAGGAGAGGGAGGCCTGGCCTAGCTGTCTGTCTGCAGCTTGTCCTGTCTCAATAAAACAACATTTGCATGCAGGGTGACTTGGCAGCTGGTTTCTTGCATTTTTGGGTGGAGAGTGTGGTCTTGGGGTGTTTGTGGGTGGCCCCTGCTGGGGGCCCTGGCTGGGTTGGCACAGCCTGTTGGAGGCAGGTGGTGGGCACCTGTGAGGTGGAGCAGCTGAGCTTGTCGTGCTGTGAAGCCCCATTGTGGGCACCCTATCCCATAGCAGGCCCTGCCCCAGGCCCTGTCTCAGCAGCTGCTGGGGCAGAGGTGGAGTTAAGGCAAGTGGCTGTGTGTGTGTGTGTGTGTGTGTGTCTGCGTCTGTCTTCCCGTATCCGCGGTCACAGAGTTCATGGGAAAGCCGTGCATGAATTTCAAAAGATTTTTCACTTCAAAGATAAGATTAACTTTGTTTTTCTTTTGGAGATTTGTTTATTTTTCTTTGAAATGCAGGTTTAGTGAGAAAGGCAGGAATCTTTCAACTGCTGTTTCACTCCCCAAATGTCTGCAACACCTGGAGCTGAGCCAGTCTGAAGCCAGGAGCCAGGAGCTTCTTTCTGGTCTCCCATGTGGGTGCAGGGTCCCAAGCCCTCCACTGCTTTCCCAGGCCACAAGCAGGGAGCTGGATCAGGACTGGAACAGCTGGGATACAAATCAGTGCCCATATGGGAAGCCAGTGCTGTAGGTGGAGGATTAGCCCACTATGCCAGCAGCCTCTGTGCTTGTTCTTGGTGCCTTGCAGGCTCTGCAGAGACCGCCTGCCCCGAGCTGGCCCTCTGCTGCCCTCCCGTCTCAGGCCATCGGGGACTTGCACCAGGGTGGTGACTGGAACTGCGGCCTTCATCGCCCTTACTCTTCCGCCATCACACTCCTGTGCACGCACCATTGCCCTGGGACGGAGGGTGAGGCTCTCCCGGGGTCTCCACGAGTCTCAAGGCGGAGGGAGCTTCTGGAAGGCTGGGTATGGGAGGGCGGCTGACTCCAGGGCTCAGGCCCCGATTGTCGCAGAGTGATCGCGCTGGACCCAGGGTAGGAAGTGAGGAGAAGTCTTCATTCCCCAAGCTTGGGGACAGCGGCTCTGCGACACGCCAGGAGCCACTGCGCCAGCCGCCAACGTCGGTGTTTAAGTGCTCACCTTCCAGTCACAGCCATGCAGGAGTTTCAGGCAGAAGGGAGTTGCCGGAGTCCCAAGTTTCCCTGTATTTAGCCTGATGGAGCAGCACAGGAGGCAGGAGGGCTGGGTCGCTTTTCGCACTTCAGTTAACGTGAGTGGTGCGAGAGGAGGTAGGAAGGACGGGGTTTCCGCGCCCTGTCTGCTGTCAACCTGACAAGCAGGTGCATGCCACCAGTGGTGGCACCCCATTACACCAATGCCCACCTCTGCCTCAACTTCTGCAGGCTGCACGGCACAGGGCTCGGATCTAGCAGCTCCGTATTTTATCTCTGGGGTCGCACCTTTGAGGGGGTGTGTGTCCGCTGGACCGTGGCCTGCAGCCCATCCCCTTGTCTGGCCTCAAGGAATGAGCATCAGAGTGGATGCACCTGGGTCTCCCCTGCCCCCTGTGGGGATGGGCAGGGGCTGGTGGGTACCGCCATGCAGTGGCAGTCATTTACATGGGGAATAGTTTCTGCTCCATGAAACTTGGCCGCTTACTGCTGGAACAGTGTCCTTAGTGAGGACACCCAGGAGGCAGGTCTTTGTACCCAGAAGTCGCCAGCTGAGGGGGCACTGGGTGTGGCCTATGTGGGAGGTGGCTGAAGAGGGGTGGCCGAGGGGTTGGTCCCGCTGCCCTGAGCTCAGCTCCTGGAGGAAGCATGGCTTACACTGCCCACGTTCATTGCCGGGCAGAGTGGAGATGCCTGTCACCCCCAGCATCTCATGCCCTTGATCGGGGCTCACGGAACTCTGGGAGATGACACTTGGAAAGCATGCCGCGCTGCTAAGAGGGTATCTGCTTGTAGAACCGAGAGCGTGCTGAGCAGAAGTGTGGCTGCTCCCCTGCCCCAGGCCAGCGTGGCCTTCAAGCAGGGCTGCCTGCCTGCCCCAGCGGAGGAGTGCAGGTGACCGGGCGCTTCCACCTGCTGTCCAGGCAGGTGCAGTGTCCACCTGCTTGGCAGTCTGGCCCCAGGGCAGCCTGCTGGGCTCCCCATACAGTGCTCAGGGTGACTGGGTGCTTCCACCTGCTGCCCAGGGAGGTGTTGTGTCCACTCTGGCAGTCCAGCTCCAGGGCTGCCTGTCGGGCCTCACCGCACTGTGCTGGCCAGTTGTCTGGGCAGGGTCTCGGTGATTCTGCCCTATGAGATGTCAGATGCCAATCCGATGTTGAATCACTGTTAAGGGGAATGGAAGTGTCTGGTCCGGTTCCGAGGGGCAGCCATGAGGCTGGGTCCAATGGGTGCTCAAGGGACCAGCTGGCCTCCAGGTAGAGCATTTGGTGAGGTCCATGGTACGTGTCAATGTCAGGTGTGAGTGATGGTGTGTCTGGCACCCCTGGGATATGCCCTGAGGTGCTGGGGGCTGCCCACCCAGTGACCGGGCTCCAGTGCCTGCTGGCCGTATGGTCCAGCCAGGCTGCCGAGGCAGGATGGGCGGCGGAATGGCGAGGGGTCAGATTACCAGCTGCTGTTGTGAGCTAGGCGTGGGAAAGCTGGAATTTCTCCTTGTTCTCAAGCTACAGCTGGCCAGAATTCTACCCTAAGAGACCCCTGACTCAGAGGCCCCACACGTGGGACAGGTCAGGCAAGCAGGCCCCCTGGAGATGGGACAGAGGCAGTGTGAGGTCCCAGGCTGCTCCTGACCTGGCTGCCCTGGATCCAGCACTCTCTGGAGGATTCCATGGTCTGTGCGGCCATGCAGGTCATCAGACCTATGGGTCCTGACCTGTAAATTGCTCTGGAGACAGACTTGGGGCAACGTAGAGCCCAGAAGTCAGTCAGGGTGACACGGGTAATGTGACAGGAGAATGGCAAGGGGGCCAGGCTGCGGCCAAGCACAGCAGCCATCTGATGGCAGCGGTGTCAAGGCCCGCACCCGGCCTGGGCTGTGGGCACGTTTGTAGGCACGCCCGACTCTTCATTCCTGAGTTCTTGTGCCTTGTGGGAACACCTGTGCCCCCTGCCCTCCCCACGTGTGGATGTGCTGACACCTTCCTGGGCCCAGAGCTGTGTAACAAAGGAAGTCCTTCCGGGGATGTGGTGTGCTCCATGAGAGGGAAGTCCTGCAGCCCAGGCCACGAGGGACTGAGTGGACACGGTCATGTACAGAGAATTCTGTTAACGGCACACCAGACTAACAGGTGCAGGACGGCATGCTGCCCGTGCTGGGAGGGGCAGGTGCTGCAAGTGCTGCAGGGATGGAGACCAGAGGTGCGGGAGCCGCTGGTCTGCTGCCACACACGGTGTTTGCTGAGAGTAGAAACAATCCTGCTGAGCAGAGAAATGACTGTGTCCACGCCCCCAGAGCCTGAGCCGGCCGCGAGCTGGACCACGTCCACACCCTCGGAGCCTGAGCTGGCCACGAGCTGGACCACGTCCACGCCCCCAGAGCCTGAGCCGGCCGCGAGCTGGACCACGTTCACGCCCTCAGAGCCTGAGCCGGCCACGAGCTGGACCACGTTCACGCCCTCAGAGCCTGAGCCGGCCGCGAGCTGGACCACGTCCACGCCCCCAGAGCCTGAGCCGGCCGCGAGCTGGACCACGTCCACGCCCCCAGAGCCTGAGCCGGCCGCGAGCTGGACCACGTCCACGCCCCCAGAGCCTGAGCCGGCCGTGAGCTGGACCACGTCCACGCCCCCAGAGCCTGAGCCGGCCGTGAGCTGGACCACGTCCACGCCCCCAGAGCCTGAGCCGGCCGCGAGCTGGACCACGTCCACGCCCCCAGAGCCTGAGCCGGCCGCGAGCTGGACCACGTCCACGCCCCCAGAGCCTGAGCCGGCCGCGAGCTGGACCACGTCCACACCCTCGGAGCCTGAGCTGGCCGTGAGTTGGACCACGTCCACGCCCCCAGAGCCTGAGCCGGCTGCGAGCTGGACCACGTTCACGCCCTCGGAGCCTGAGCTGGCCGCGAGCTGGACCACGTCCATGCCCCCAGAGCCTGAGCCGGCTGTGAGCTCAACCTTGGTATGGAAGGGCTTCTGCAGGGCCTGTGATGCAGAACGTGTTACTGCTGGCTAGTGCCTGTGCACACGTGTGGGGCATACGTTCTAGCTGAGTGGCAGACACACCTCCATAGTCCTGAGTCCATGGGCTCCGATCCCACACCTGTGGCTGGTGGATACCCGTCGTGACAGGTGTGAGGTCAGGCCTGAGCAGGTGGCAGGCCCCAGGCCCACCTGGAGGAGGCACATGTGGATGAGTCCCAGAGGGAGATTGGAGACGGGCCTCAGGAGCGTGATGCTGTCCGGGGGAGGTGGAGGGTGGGTGGCCAGCAGGTGGCCCTCCTGGGTGGGCTCAGGGGTGTCGAGCAGCAGAGGGGGCAGGGGTGACGCTGTGCCTGACCGCGTGGGGGTCTTTCCCTGTCGGTGGCTGGAGCAGAGAGGGCGGATCCAGCCTTTGTGGACAAGGACTTTTGGGGACAGGGTCAGGTTTCACATAGAGTACTCCTCTGCAGGTGGTGTCACCAGTGTCAGCCCTGCCGGGGTCCCATGGACGTGGCTGATGGCCAGTGTCGGCCGAGCCGGGGTCCCATGGACGTGGCTGATGGCCAGTGTCGGCCGAGCCGGGGTCCCATGGATGTGGCTGATGGCCAGTGTCGGCCGAGCCGGGGTCCCATGGATGTGGCTGATGGCCAGTGTCGGCTGAGCCGGGGTCCCATGGATGCGGCTGATGGCCAGCGTCAGCCGTGCCGGGGTCCCCTGGACGTGGCTGGTGGCCAGCGTTGGCCGTGCCAGGGACCCTGGAGGCGGCTGGTGGCCAGCGTCGGCTGGGCCGGGGACCCTGGAAGCGGCTGGTGGCCAGCGTCGGCCGAGCCGGGGTCCCATGGAGGTGGGTGGTGGCCAGCGTCGGCCGAGCCAGGGACCCTGGAGGCGGCTGGTGGCCAGCG